GGAGGTGCTGGGGGAGGATAAGCTCATGGCCATCCTGACGGAGCGAGAGCTGAAGATCTACTGGGGGACCGCCACCACGGGCAAGCCGCACGTGGCCTACTTCGTGCCCATGTCCAAGATCGCAGACTTCCTGAAGGCAGGGTGTGAGGTAGGTGGCCAGGCTGGGAGCTCACACCCTGCGGGGCTTTGTCACCACGCTGGTGGGTGGGAACGTGCAGTTCCCCTGAGCAGCGCGGCACTGACTCTGTCCCCCTCCGTACCAGGTGACGATACTCTTTGCTGACCTCCATGCTTACCTAGACAACATGAAGGCCCCCTGGGAGCTGCTGGAGTTGCGCACCCGCTATTACGAGAACGTGATCAAAGCCATGCTGGAGAGCATTGGGGTGCCCCTGGAAAAGCTGAAGTTCGTCCGGGGCACTGACTACCAGCTCAGCAAGTGAGTCCTGGGGTGCCCGGTCCTTTGGGGAAGGAAGAGCCCGACCCGGGGCTCTGCTATTCCTGAGCTTGCCCTGTTCCTGAGCCTGCTCCCAGGCACTGTCATTCAGGGAACAAAGTGAAGGTGCCTCCAGGCCTTGGCTCCTCTTGATGTGGCCAGAACCAGTGTTTGCGTGAAGCGGCTCTAAAAGATGTCCCCCTCCCCGGTGCTAACAGTGCTGTCCCTTCCCACAGGGAGTACACGCTGGACGTGTACCGCCTCTCGTCCGTGGTGACGCAGCACGACGCGAAGAAGGCGGGAGCGGAGGTGGTGAAGCAGGTGGAGCACCCCTTGCTGAGCGGTTTGCTCTACCCTGGCCTGCAGGTGCGTCATGGCGAGGCAGGTCGGCAGAGCCGCTTGGCCAGGGAGGTGCTGGGCGAAGCCAGGACTGCAGGGACACGCGAGGCTGAACGCCGAGGTCGTTATACTCCACCCCAATATTACACCTGGCAGCAGCACAAAGCGTAACCCGAGCGCAGAGCTGCTTTTACAGCGACTCCGGCCAGCTGCAGGACAGCAGGCAGTCGGGAGAGCTCCCGTCCTTCCCGGGGCGGGAGTGCCCTGGCAGAGGCTGGGCAGATCCTGGGGGACGGGCAGGACCTCCAAAGGCTGAGCACAGCTGGGGTGCGGAGTCTTGGGCCCGGCCTCGAGGCTGTGTGTGTCTCTCTGCAGGCCCTGGATGAGGAGTACCTCAAGGTCGACGCACAGTTTGGAGGAGTTGATCAGAGGAAGATATTCACCTTTGCAGAGAAGGTGGGGAATGGGGGGTCTTTCAGAGCCCCCTGCGATGCTGACGCCTGGCTCAGGGCTCGAACACTCGCTAATCCATTGAGAGAAGCGTGTCTGTGATTTCGGTCGGCACCACAGCGCCCTTCGCAGCTCCCGCTGCTGCTCTTGTGGTCTGCAGGGCTCTGGCGTGCTGCCACGCAGCCCTGGCTGTGGCCGTCAGAGCCTTGTGAACTCGCGATAGCTTTCTGGGTCCTGTTATTCTGGGTCCCCAAGTTATCTGGAGCCAGGAGCAGGATTGTGAGTTAAAGATGATCTTCAGAAGAGGATTGTCCGTGACTTGCCTCCTTGCTTTTTCCCAGTACCTTCCTTCCCTGGGCTATGCCAAGCGCGTCCATTTGATGAACCCCATGGTTCCCGGTCTGACAGGCAGCAAAATGAGCTCGTCAGAAGAGGTTGGTCCCTGAACGGTGGCTGTGGTCAGGGGTTCTGCGGGGGGACGGGTTAATGGCTGGCGGCGGAGAGGCTGCACCCCAAGAGAAGGTGACTTCTCTCTCCGTTCACACTGGGGTCTAAGAAGAAGTTGTAGCAACTCCAGCATGAGTTGCCTCTTTTGGGCAAGAGCTTGGGTAAAGGGCTGCGGAAATCTCTTCCTCCAGGACTCAAAGATTGACCTTCTGGACCGCAAGGAGGATGTGAAGAAGAAGTTGAAGAAGGCTTTCTGCGAGCCAGGGAACGTGGAGAACAACGGTGTCCTCTCCTTCATCAAGCACGTCCTCTTTCCCCTTAAGTCAGGTGAGGGGCTCCCCATGCTCGGGCACTGGGGCTAGTCTTTCCTGTGGGTAAGAGGAGGGGACGGGAGCGTGTCCCCCCTGAAGCAGGCTGCCCCTGAGAGCCCCCTCCCCAGCCCCTGCTGCGATCCCCCTCGGCTCTTGGGCTAAGTGGGACGGGTGGTTTCTCTGGCTGAGCAGGGAGTGAGTCTCCGCTTGGGTTAATCTGCGCCTTAAAATCTGTGTGTCGCAGAGTTTGTGGTTCTGCGAGAAGAAAAATGGGGAGGAAACAAAACCTACACAGCCTATGAGGCCCTGGAGAAGGACTTTGCTGAGCAGGTGAGTGCCGGGAGGGACTGAACCCCCTCCCTGTCCCCGAGGCTCCTGAGGGTGCTGTGGGAGGGCTCTGAGCAGCAGTGGGAGATGGAAATCCGCACCAGGGGAGAGCGTGGAGCAGAGTGTGGCCCAGTGCCTGTAGGGTGGCAGGGTGCTGCCAGCCGGGAGAGCCCGAAGGTGAGAGGATGGGTGAAGGATGGGGGGGCACCAGCTGTCCTGTTGCAGGACAGGACCATGTCAGCCACATCCTGGAACAGAGCAGCGGTTCAACTGTTTTCGGCTGTCCCCAGCTGAGGCCGCAAGCAAAAGCGGCCAGAAGAGGGATTCTGTGGTCCGAGGGGGAATCAGTCCAAGTGCTGGGGTTCATCTCCCCGCCCACTGCGTGGTCTCCAGTTCCTGCCTCTCTGGACTCAGATCAGTGACTCGAATTCTGCTGCTCTCTGTGCCCTGGAGGAAACCATGCAGGAACCTGTCTGTTTGTCGCGATACAGGTCGTGCATCCCGGAGACTTGAAGAACTCGGTGGAAGTGGCCCTGAACAAACTGCTCGACCCCATCAGAGAGAAATTCAACAGCCCGGAACTGAAGCAGCTGACCAACGCAGCGTATCCCAACCCGTCCAAAGCCAGTAAGGAGGTGCTGGGAGCTCGGGGAAGTGGGGGCCTGGCCAGTGGGTGGGAGAGAGTCCCTCCAGGGGCTGAGGTTAGAGAGAGGTTCTGAAACTTCAGTCTCAGGAGCAGCCCCGGAGAGTGTTAGGAAGGGTGAGGAAAGGCCAACGCCAGGGGTTTTTGCCTGCCCCAGGGAGGATAGATGCCAGCGTGCTTCTCTGGTGCTTGAGAGGCCAGCAAAGCGGAGGAGGGACTGTGCTCGGTGGTATAGAGACAAGCAGGGAATTCAGCGGGCCCCAGGGCCAGCATTTGGGGGTCACTGTGTGCTCCCCAGGGCTTGGCCAGCTCCCTGGGTTTATGCCGAGTGGCACGACTGTTCCCTTTGCGCTGCAGAGCCTGCAGAGAAGGGCACCAAGAACTCGGAGCCGGAGAACGTGGTCCCATCCCGGCTGGACATTCGCGTTGGCAAAGTGATCAGTGTGGAAAAGGTACCGGCACAACGGGGAGAGGGGAGTGACCTTCCCACGTGGTGACACGGGCAGTCGCTGTGTGGGGCGGGTCTGCCCCCTTCTTCTCTGCCACCCCAGTCCCCTCCCCTGCTCCTCACCTTGCTTCTGCTTGGCAGCACCCAGACGCCGACAGCCTGTACGTGGAGAAGATCGATGTGGGCGAGCCTGAGCCCCGCACCGTGGTCAGTGGCCTGGTGCAGTTCGTCCCCAAGGAGCAGCTGCAGGACAGGCTGGTGGTGCTGCTTTGCAACCTCAAGCCCCAGAAGATGAGGGGTGTGGAGTCGCAGGGCATGGTGCTGTGTGCCTCCAGGTGAGGGAGGGGGGCATCAGGGCCGTACCCTTCCAGGGGTGCAGTCCAGACCCCCTTCTCCTGCCCCCAGAGCCCGGCGGGGCTGAGGGGCAGGTGGGTACCTCCTCGGGGTGGCTCTGCTTCCTCCATGCCCCTCTGCAGCGTGGGGGAGCCGCGGCAGGTGGAGCCCCTGGACCCGCCGGCCGGGTGCTGCGCCGGGGAGCGCGTCTACGTGGAGGGCTACGAGGGCGGGGAGCCCGACGATGAGCTCAAGCCGAAGAAGAAGGTCTTTGAGGAGCTGCAGGTGAGGAGCTGCAGCAGGGGGCTGGGCCACAGCTTGGAGTAGCTGGGGCTCCAGGCGTCGAGTGGGGCAGTGCTTAGGGCCACGCGGATGCCACTGTCCCCACCTCTGGGTGACCCCAAATTAGCTATTTGCTGCTCACTGCTCGTGTTTGCTACTGTCAGCAAAGACGTGGAGGAGACAAACCTCTCCACCGGCCGAGCAAGGCGCCGCTGCCCCGCTGGCAGCCCAGGCCTGACCCTGCCCCCCCCTGCTTTGCTCCCCAGGCCGACTTCCGCGTCTCCGAGGACTGTGTCGCCCAGTGGAAGCAGAGAAACTTCCTGACCAAGCTGGGGAGAGTCTCCTGTAAAAGCCTGAAGGGAGGGAGCATCAGCTAACAAGCGCCAGAGCCGCGGCTCGTGCCTCCTGCCTGGCCCCCTCCACCACCTCAGCCAGGCTCTCCTCCCTGGTCTCTGCCATCTCCTCCCCAAGTGCCCCGAGCCGGGGGCTCAGCCCCGCGGGACCCGGGGGCTCTGGGACTGAATTTGCAGCCTCCCACCTGGAGAGCTGCCTCCGACATCCCCCTCGCCCTGGGCCCGCTCAGCCGGCGTCCGTGCCTTGGCTGCGGGCCAGCTCTGGGGGACTGGCGGTGGCACCACACCTAAGGGACCCGTGTGACTTGTGCCGTGGCCTCAGGCTCTAC